AAGGAAGGAAGGAAGGAAGGAAGGAAGGAAGGAAGGAAGGAAGGAAGGAAGGAAGGCTTCCTGCCTCTACTTTTTCCATGTTATCCTTCCAACAGTTGTGGGATGGAGGTCCATCTTAGAACAAGTGACTGTCCTGAAATCACCTAGGGTGTTTCCCAGTTCAGTGTAGGAAGTACCACCTGGATTCCCCACATTCCAGTCTCCACAGGCTGTCTCTTACAAAATGACCTGATGAACTGACAAACTGAATCGTTATTGATCGGGTCACAGTGGGGGCAATTTGTGGTTTATGTGTCGTCAAGTTTGATGACCCACGAACCAAGACAAAGTGCCGTTTTGGCACTTCATCCCCATCTCTAGTCAGGAAGCAAGCTCCCAATCATCTGTGCTCCAACTCATTGAGCCATGCATCCGGCTCAGATTAATTATGACTCTGAGGTCAGTATTTATGTGAGAGACTCACTTCCCAGGAAGGGGTTAGAAAAGATGATCCTGGGAAGGCACAGGGCAAAATCAGTGAAGAATTCCATCTTCTGGTCAACTTTTAAAGGGGGAAATGTACAGTGAATTTCAGAGGTGCATTCATTGACTGCCAATGTTGACAATACAACTGCACCGTCATCCAGGCGAGCAAGCAACAGTTGACCTCTCTATGCAATTCCAGCAAGAAGGTCCTGGATAAGCAAATTCCTCTTCTCCACCACTGTTTGTATATGGGGAAGAAATCCAAAGCATTGCACTCAACACAGAGACACAAACATAAGCATACATTATCCTTCATAACATGAGATTTCTTTTCATTATACTGTGTGTTATGTTCCATGAAATTACTTCTCAACGAACTAAGAAGTTATCGAATGGCCAGAATCTTATCAATGATCTATGCTGGCAAAAATGTAGTGCTGTAAAACACAGCAGTGAATAGCCACTAGTTAGCAAGTTGAATTCCTTCTCGTATGCCAACTCCCCTGATTGCTGAATGATAAGGAATATAAACAGTGACTCATTAATTACCTTATCTGATCTGCAGATGGCACGAAGTCGGGTGGAATATCTAATGCCCTGGAAGACAGAAGCAACGTTTGAAAAGATTTTGACAGGCTCAAATATTGGACTGAAAACAACTGAATGAATTTTAACAGGAATAAGTACAAACTTCTACCTGTGGGGGTGGGAAACAAATGCACAGTTACACAATGGAGGATACTTAGCTCGGTAACACTACATGCAAGACAAATCTTGGAATTCTTTTAGATCACTAGTTGAATATGAGTTGACAGTGTCATGTGACCGGGGAAAAGAGGCAAATGTGATTTTAGGCTGCGTTCATTCATTCATTCATTCATTCATTCATTCATTCATTCATTTGATTTGATTTGATTTGATTTGTATCCCGCCCATCTGGTCTATACAACCACTCTAGGCGGCTAACAGTAGTAGTCTCCAAATTACATTCCAGTTCCCCTCGATTCAGCACTGGTTAGGCCTCATCTTGAGTACAATGTCTGGTTCTGGGCATCACTCTTTAAGAAGGATGCAGAGAAACTGGAACAAGTTCAGAGGAGAGCAACTAAGATGATCAGGGACTGGATACCAAGCCCTATGAAAAAGATTAAAAGAACTCGCCATCTTTAACCTTGGGCGAAGAGGACTGAGGGGAGATAGGATAGGTCTCTTCAAATATTTGAAAAGTTGTCATACAGAGGAGGGGCAGGATCTGTTCCCAGTTCTTCCAGAGATCAGGAGGACACAGAATAATGGGCTCAACCTGCAGCAAGCCAGATTTCAACTGAATATCTCGTATGCCAAGTCCCATAATTGCTGAATGATAAGGAATATAAACAATGACTCGTTAATTACCTTATCCGATCTGCAGATGGCACAAAGTTGGGTGGAATAGCTAACGCCCTGGAAGACAGAATCAGCGTTTGAAAAGATTTTGACAGGCTCAAATATTGGACTGAAAAGGCCTCTTATGCAACATTTTTAGTGATACTTCCATTGTGTAAAATATGTTGCACTGAGGTTAGAAGATCAATCTAGGAAAGCACGGAACAGTGTGCATTTGTGTTTATGCCTGACAAATCCTTAGCAATATCACTCATCCACCCACTCATCTGACATTCCCCATTCCCATTTCTGGGTCAAGACCTGTGTGAATGTACACACAGGGAACTCATTCACCCTACAGACACTTCCCATTCCCACAGTTAGCCCAACAAACCTTAGAAGGAGATGCCTGAAGAGGATCCAGAAAAAAAGCCATTTCCACTCAGCAGGGACTCACCTCCTCCTCCTCCTCCTGTAGCTGCTATAAAATAATCTTCCCCCTTTTTTGTTTTACTAATTCAGAAGAAGCGGGCAATTATTCTAGTTCTCCTTACTTGGAGTTTAACATTAGTAATTCCGAAGACTGAGAGAAATACTTCTTGAAAAGTTTTAAAAAGAACAAAACATCTTGTACAGCCTCCCAGACCTTCCTGCACCTTGACTTTTCCTGGTATGTACAATGATCCGTAATTTCCCGGTCTTTTTAGACCAGTAGACACAAGGATGATGATGAGGGAACTTCAGAGGTCCTTGGGAACATCATGCTCCCTGTTTGGTTGTCTTGTACAGCCTCCCAGACCTTCCTGCACATTGACTTTTCCTGGTATGTACAATGATCAGTAATTTCCTGGTCTTTTTAGACCAATAGACACAAGGATGATGGTGAGGGAACTTCAGAGGTCCTTGAGAACATCGTGCTTCTTGCTTGGTTGTAAGAACGCAGCACCAATTGAGTCAAACTGCTCTCCATGTTATATTCCGACTTTGTTTTAAAAATATTTTATTTAGAGATAATGGTGTGAACGTGGAGAACCCAAAACTTGGAAAACATAAGGAGTAAAGAGGTTTTCAAAAGCTCAAGAAACTAAGGAGGGTGACAAATCTGAGGTGTGAACAGGCAGACTCCAGCTATCAATGCCGCAATACATGCCATCAAGTCACTTCATCACTGGATGAAGAAATCTCCGGAATGTCCTGTCCTCAACAGCCCTGCTCAGCTCTTGTTAACTCAAGGATGTGGCTTCTTTTCAGTTGTTGTTCTGTCTCTCATTTGTTCTTCCTCTTTTCCTGCTCCCATCAGCCTTTCCTCACATTGTGGCAGAC